AAAAAGACAAAAAGAAATCATACCAAAAAAAAAAAAAAAAAGGCTGAGGACGAGGAAGATTCTGAGGATATAAGAGCTAAGGAAGATGCTGAGGATAGAAGAGCCGAGGAAGATGCTGAGGATAGAAGAGTCGGGGAAGTGCTGAGGATAGAAGAGTCGGAGAAGTGCTGAGGATAGAAGTGCTGAGGAAGATGCTGAGGATAGAAAAGCTGAGGATAGAAGAGCTGAGGAAGATGTTGAGGATAGAAGAGTCTAGGAAGATGCTGAGAATAGAAGAGCCGAGGAAGATGCTGAGGATAGAAGAGCCGAGGAAGATGCTGAGGATAGAAGAGCTGAGGAAGATGCTGGGAATAGAAGAGCTGAGGAAGATGCTGAGGATAGAAGAACTGAGAAAGTTACTGAGAATAGAAGAGGCAAGGAAGATGCTGAGGATAGAAGAGCCGAGGAAGATGCTGAGGATAGAAGCGCTGAGGAAGATGTTGAGAATAGAAGAGCTGAGGAAGATGCTGAGGATAGAAGAGCCGAGGAAGATGCTGAGGATAGAAGAGCTGAGGAAGCTGCTGAGGATATAAGAGCCGAGGAAGATGCTGAGGATAGAAGAGCTGAGGAAGATGCTGAGAATAGAAGAGCTGAGGAATATGCTGAGGATAGAAGAGCTGAGGAAGATGCTGAGGATAGAAGAGCTGAGGAAGATGTTGAGGATAGAAGAGCTGAGGATAGATGAGCCGAGGAAGAAGCTGAGGATAGAAAAGCAGAGGAAGATGCTGGTGATGAGGAGACAATGAGTTTCTCAGGAGAGGGAACTTGAGGTATAGTATCTCTAACTCAAATTCCCACTCTCAGAGAAGCTCATTGTAGAGACGTGGGGCTATGGTCATGAAGAAGGGGCCACCAAATTGTGCCATCCAGATGGAAGGATTCCTGGAGGAGCACAGAGCTGTATCAGCTCAAGAGTCCTTTCCCACAACTTACAGCAGTCCTCATCATCCAGGGCATGGATGGAAGGTGGGACCTGGCGACAACCACTGGAACAGGGCACATGCGTGGCTGCACCTGCTGTGTATGTACATTACTCATATCTACAAAACTTCAAATAATATATTTAGGTGGTTTCTTTTAGTCTAAACACACTGAGCTGAGGAAGATGCTGAGGAAGATGCTGAGGATAGAAGAGCCGAGGAAGATGCTGAGGATAGAAGAGCCGAGGAAGCTGCGGAGAATAGAAGAGCTGAGGAAGATGCTGAGGATAGAAGAGCCGAGGAAGATGCTGAGGATAGAAGAGCCGAGGAAGATGCTGAGGATAGAAGAGCTGAGGAAGATGCTGAGGATAGAAGAGCTGAGGAAGATGCTGAGGATAGAAGAGCTGAGGAAGATGCTGAGGATAGAAGAGCTGAAGAAGATGTTGAGAATAGAAGAGCCGAGGAAGATGCTGAGGATAGAAGAGCTGAGGAAGATGCTGAGGATAGAAGAGCTGAGGAAGATGCTGAGGATAGAAGAGCCGAGGAAGTTGCTGAGGATAGAAGAGCTGAGGATGATGTTGAGGATATAAGAGCAGAGAAATATGCTGAGGATAGAAGGGCCAAGGAAGCTGATGAAGAGCGTAGAAAGATGCTGGTGATGAGGAGACAATGAGTTTCTCAGGAGAGGGAACTTGAGGTATAGTATCTCTAACTCAAATTCCCACTCTCAGAGAAGCTCATTGTAGAGTCGTGGGGCAATGGTCATGAAGAAGGGGCCACCAAATTGTACCATCCAGATGGAATGATTCCTGGAGGAGCACAGAGCTGGATCAGCTCGAGCGTCCTTTCCCACAGCTTACAGCAGTCCTCATCATCCAGGGCATGGATGGAAGGTGGGACCTGGCGACAACCGCTGGAACAGGGCACATGCGTGGCTGCACCTGCTGTGTATGTACATTACTCATATCTACAAGACTTCAAATAATATATTTAGCTGGGTTTTTTTTAGTCTAAATACACTGTGGTCCTAAGAAACCACACACCGAGAGAATCATGGTTCTAAACCCAGAGGTAAAAACTGCACCAATGAACCCCCATCCTTCTTCAATATCTCACCAACCTGACCAAACAATAGTTGTTAATGGTCAAATTAATTTTATTTTTTTTTTGCTGAATTTCTGACAGGTTTTGGCTCTCTCAGGGGAGGTATTCACTGAATAGATAGGTTACTAAGGGAGGTTTTACTGTATGACAAATATGGCAGTGTACCTGTAGTAGCTGCCAGTCTCTCCAGCCAGGCTAGGCTCCAGAGCACAGTAGAGCGGAGTGCGAGCCCCATCCTCTGGGCCAGGAAACAGCCAGGAGAGCAGTCCCTCACATACCACTCCAGGATTACAAGTGTAGACTGTAACCTGAGGCGGAAGTCTGCGAGACAGCTCGCGGCCAAACATCACATTGGCCAGTCTAGTGTGGAGGTAGGTGGTCAGGGGATTGAAGGGGGTTCCTTTAAATAAAGGGTCCAAGTCTAGCTTTCTGGTGACTACCACATCACCCACCCAAATATCTAAATTATAGGAAGATCATTGATTGGTTGGTAGTTTGTTTGGAAAAATATATGGCAAACATTTTTTTTAAATTTAGTTTCCGAAATTTCAGTGACTGTGTGTGTCACAATTCTCAGGGGAATCATTCTCCTGAAGAATGACAGCTAGTCACTGGAATATCAAGAACTAAATAAAAAATTTGTTCATGTAGCTAAATTATATGCATATACGTGCATATATATGAAGAGACAAGGGTCGCTTCTCCAGTCAAAATAGATGTCTTAACCAGACGCCATCTATTGACCGTTGCCGCAACTAGCGGCCTCGGGTCGGTGACAAAGCCACAACACCAGCTTTGGCAAAGCGTCCACCTAGAGACCATGGTTTCGGGCTAATGGTCCTCGTCAGTCTAGGGCGGATTTTATTCTATGAGATCGGGAGAGGCGACCTTTGTCTCTTTATATCAATATCCTCCCGGCAAAATTTCCATCTATATATATATGTATACAGTTACGAGCGTCATCAATTCTTCATCTCTTAATCATTCACCTCTGTCACCGTTTGCTTTTTTTTTGGAATGGCGCCCTCCTATTGGTTGGCTACGATCACGCCACCTTTGCCCCCCCCCCCCCCACTTGCCTTTTCGTTTATGTAACTATTGTGTTGGAGCTCCCTAAATAAATGCATATATTAGATAATAACCAAATGGAATCCTCTCTTTCTTTTTCCGAGTAAGAGACGCCTACGGAAGCCAACAGTACATAGACAGATAAAGCACATAGGCTATAGTTATTAACTAACATATGCAATTATTTAAGGCGCCAATTTATAATTGTAACAAATAGTATTTGAAACAAAACATTCAATCGGGTAAAACACGGGCGTTGCCCGGGTCATTCGGCTAGTATATGTATATATGGGATACAAATACAGAATAACCTCTTTGTGATAATGTACAATTTGGATTAGGCATAAATGGCAACAAAATTACATCATGCAATAATTTATTTATCTTGTTACTTTATGTTTATACCTTTTTCATCCAACCAACCATTATTGAACACTTATTACATATAATTCAACTTTTTTTTTTCAAATCCCACACATTTCCCAAGTTCCCATCTTTAATTCAACTGACCATAATTAAGCACCTACTTTAGTCCGGCAGTTTTTGAATCCCACACAATCAGCCTATTTACTCCCATCAACAGGCGTCTAAATACTCCAATGAATTCTTCTTCTCTCTCTAACACTGCACTTCACCATCCACCACTTGTAATCAAGTGGCTTTACTTTAACACACATACAGAGTCATTGAGTCGGAGCTAGATCTAAAATAACGGCAGGAAGTATTGAGTTTTAATTATTTTGTGGATTACGACCGCAACTACCCGAGTTCGATTCCCACATTGGGCACTTTTTTCTGATTGAAAAAAAAAAAAAAATGCTCCAATGGCCCCCGATTCTTGCAAAAGTCCAACCCCACCAGCGAATGCAAGTAACCAAACAGGGCTCTGGCACATTTGTAAGT